ATATACCCTTAAGCAAATAATCAAGCAAAATAGTAAACTTTAAACAAAAGGTTCCTGTAGAGTACTACAGAAGTTTAGGGTGCTAATACCTTCCCTAAGCCTAACCAACCCCTTACCTAGATCTCTCCCCGCATTGTGTTTACGATGCAAAATTAGGTTTTTCCTTTCTTTGACCTTTCCTTCGGATAAATTAAAGACCGGTTGTGAACTAAAGATGCGATTCAAATTAATTAATAATTTGATATCCTATTCTAAACGCAATAATCTTGATAGGATATTATTCGACTAGAGGTTACAAGTTGTTCGACCTAGTGAATAATCAGGTAGTGATCATCAAGGACATGATCATAAATGAGCTTAAAGAATGAGATTGGACTGAGAATGTCAAGAAGGATTCAGTGAGAATCTCTTGTAAAGAACCAGCCAGTGAAGTTGAAAGTGAAGTTTGACAGGAACAAGTCAGAGATGAAGCTGGCCCAAGCGAATCTCGATGAACAAGACACATGCCTGCAAGGTTGCAAGAATGTGTGATTACGTCAGATGATGTTGTCGATGAAAAAGGTGAGCTGGTACACTATGCTTTCTACGCAGATGTTGAACCAGTAAATGCAGCTGAGGCATGAAAGATTCAAAGTGGGTGAGAGCAATGAATGAGAAGCTAGACTCTATCGAAGTCAACAACACCTGGTCACTTGTCGATTTGCTTCAAGGCAAGAAGGAAATTAATGTGAAGTGGGTTTACAAGTTGAAGGTGAATCCTAAAGGAGAAGTAACTCGACACAAGGCGAGACTTGTGGCGAAAGGATTTCTTCAGAAGGGAGGAATCAACTTCGACGAAGTTTTTGCACCTGTTGTCAAGGTCGAAACAATCAGATTGGTTGTTGGTGTAACAAATATGAATAATTGGCACACATGTCAGATGAATGTGAAGTATACATTCCTAAATGGCCCCTTAGATGGAGAAGTTTATGTTGCACAGCCAGTTGGGTTTGTGAAACGAGGCAAGAAAGAAAGGTGTACAGGCTGCATAAAGCCCTGTATAGACTTAAGTAAGCTGCAAGAGCTTGGAATAAGAAAATCGACAGATTCTTAAGGGTGAAGGAATTTGTGAAGTGTACGACTGAGTATGGAGTGTACAGAAGAAGAAGCAGTAGTGAGTTGCTTATACTATGCCTCTATGTCGATGACCTATTGATAACAGGAATTTATAAGAAGGGGATCGAAGACTTCAAACATAACTTTAGAGAGAGTAGATTCTCGACTATGGCATTTTGTTTCCTGCAACTGATAAAGGAAAATAACGCAAGTTAGTGGGATACATCAACTCTAGTTGGTATCATGATGCTGAGGATAGAAAATCCACAGCTGGCTATGTGTTTATGCTAGGTGGTGCACTGGTTGCTTGGAGTTTGAGAAAGGATTCAGTAGTGGCATTGTCATCAAGCAAAGAAGAATATATAGTTGCTTCTGTTTATTCATGTCAAGCAACCTGAATGGTGAACTTGGTCGAAGAGATCACATCAAAGAGTCATGGAGCAATTACCATGAAGATCGACAGCATGTCAGCTATCAACTTGGCGAAGAATCCAATAGCAAACCATCGAAGCAAGCACATCGAAATGAGGTTCCATTATCTTCGAGAGCATGTAGCAGAAGGAAAGATGAACTTGAAACACCGTAGAACTGAGAATCAGATTGCAGACATCGTGACGAAGGGAGTTCCAATCGAAGTGTTCAAGAAGTTAAGGTTTATGATGAATGTAGATAGTTTAGACACAATGAATTAGGTGGTGTGTTAAATATGTAATTCATTGTTTTAGAAAGATTAGATTTGATTTAGAAAGATCAGATTTGATTAGATATTTTTGGAATTTTATAGTTTGGGTTTTGCCTTGGGGTGCAAGCTAACCTAAATCTATAAATAGAGAGAAACTCTTATTTTGTAAACATCTCATCTCATCTCATCATATTTTATAATTCATAGTTTGCAATTGCAAGTGAAATAACAGAATTTCCACAGTTTGTGGGCAGAGAGTCCTCTGTAGAAAATTGTTCATCTTCTTCTTCTCCAACATTTACTTTCTTTCTTTCTTTTTAAAATTTTCTTTCATTGTCATTACGTGAGTTGAAATAATCTTGAGATCAAGATTGATTGAGTGAAATTCTCCATAGGTTGTGGTTGAATTTCCAACAATGATGTTGTTTTATTATGTTGATTGTTTCACAGTTGACAAGGTTGTTGGAGGTTTAAGGTAGAAATGTTTGGTTCGTAGGGATAGAAAGAACTTGTATTGATTGTTTTTGTGAAGATGATTAATGATGGTGATGATGTTGTTTGAACAAGATAATTTAACGCCGTAATTCACTCAGGCCATTATTTTAATTGTAAAATTTCAAAATTTCAGCAATTTGTCTTGTCATGTTAGATTCTGTTAGAGGAAGTTAACAGGAGGAACCAAATGTATGGATAGAAAATATTATGAAAATTATTTTTTGAATAAAAACTTTAGAGGAACTAAAAGTGACGTATGAGATATTTAAAAGCGCGACATACATATTTAACACTTAAATAATAGACAAAATAATACAATTATTTATTCATAACAACTGGTCTATTAAAATACATAAATATTTAGTAAACGAAATAAGCTAGTGTACCATTAAATAAATAAACATGCTTTTGATTTCAAAATGTCCAATATGTAGTATAGATAATGTGTTTAAGAACTTAAATTAGAGAATTTTTTATTGCACCTTAGATGTTTCATATATGTGTTCTGATTTCGAAGATACATTTACGGACGCATTCTAGCACACACTCAACAAAGTTCATTCTGAAATATGCCATTTCTTTTGGTTTAATTTATTCTGAAGATGCATCTTCGAAATAATTTTGTAACTACATTTCTGAAGGCACACCAGAAATAGATTCAACAAAATAGTTATTTTGCAAAATGAAATTGACATTCATAACATAAAATGAGCATTTCAACGATGATTTCAACATAACATTCAGTATTACATTTCAATATCTTGGTGGACGCTTGCACATCTTCAAAATATCTTCGATTGATCTTTGTAATGTCGCTTCTAACTCAAGGGGAACTTTCTTTTCAAAACCGAAATACGTATCTCACATAGCCCTAACATCTGCTTCCATCTTGAGCCCAAATTTGTTGAACTAAATCTTCCCTTCAATTGTCAATAAATGGTGAACGGAACTCGAGCTTCACAATCTTTCGGTTGTCTGTAAGGTAGGAGATGGTGGATTCCGTCTTTGATATCTTCGAGGAAGGTGAAGTCGACGAGTTTGAACATTTGGCCGGGTGTAGAGCTGAAAAAAGACACATTTACGACATACCAATAGATGTCTATTTGTGATATTTGAGATATTTTGAGGTTGGGTGAAATATATCAGTAGAGCACCAAAATTTATAGAAGTCATAGATCATATTGGACCACTCATTAATTGTAATATTGATTCCGAAGATATATCTCCAGAACCACACCCTATTATCTTGTTCCAGAAATACATCTCTGAAATTTGTCCCGAACTAGTGTACAATAGGTGCATCCGGAGATATATTTTCAAAATATATAATGAATTGAACAATTAAATTGTTTTTTATTAAACTGAAGAGGAAGAAATTGAAAATAAACATCATTGAAAGTGAAAGTGTCAAATTTAGAAGGAGTCCGTAGCAAATAATCATCATTGTCATATTTAAGAATATAAACCTTGCACAACAAGTTATTCAAATTAAGGATAACTTGATTTATATCAGAAGAGATATAACAATTCTTGTTATAACTGAAATGTCTAATCTTAAATTCTATACAAATATGAGGATCAATTTGAAGAATTTTCAGCAGAGACTCATTGAGCCAACAGTCAGTCTAAAATTAATTTTGTGATCATTATCAATTTGACATTAAGAGCTATCTTGAATTATAGGTAACTAAGATTTAATATAAGACCAAATAAAGGAGTGAATGTGATAATTAATGTGTCCATTTTCTCTTTTGATATGAACTCTCAAGATAATTATCAGAAGTGAGGTGTTTCCAAGTCAAATGAAGGAAGACAACTTTGTAGATATTTGAATGGATCTTAGACCTAGTTTTCTATATCTTTAGGCTTACAAATTTTATGTCAAGTTAAAGTAATCAACTTTCTTTTCTCAACATCTCATGACCAGATGATATACTAGCAAACCATTAATATATGTGAAAACTATAGAACAACATGCTATAAAATGTACTTTTAACAAGCTCTACCTCACCTTCTATGAAAAGTAAAGAGGTCTTTCAAACATAGAGTTTACACTTACACTTAATCTTATCTGCAATTTCACAAAGATAAAAGATTTTAGATTTGCCTCTAAAAATAGGAATATGAAAGGTGAATTACCAATAACAAAATTAAAAACATTTACAATAATATTATATTTTCTGCTAGACATGCTACCAAAATAAACAGGGTTTCATCAAGATTGATAATTTAACCAAATGCTAAACTATATCTATAATAAAATATCATATTTTTAACATTCGATTTGGTTGAATTGAGATTAAAAAATTAGAATAGAGTAGAAAAAGAAAAGGTATTTTAATTCATCAAAACATTTCTATCAATTTTGTCATTGTCTATATGACCAATTCTCCATAATACACTTAACCTGCCAAATGATCAAACTTGCCGGATAAACTTATTTGACATAACATCAAATCAAATTCATAAACTATTTAGATATCATAAAAAATTTAAGGACCAAGTTAATCAATAACACAAAATCCATCACTAACAAGTTTTGTTTTCTATCAAAAAATCTTTAAAATCTTCACTCATTTTTAATGTTATAGTGTTGTGTCCCCACACAGTCCCACTAGGAAAAACTTAGCTATATTATATAGTCACATCTCCTCTATAATAAGTCATTAACATCTCAAGCTTCAACCATTTTCTCTCAACCTCCACTTCATTAGCATCCACACACAAAATGAGTATTCACCATTCTAATGGCACATCACCCTCCATCACCAAAGCCCCTACCATCAAGTTCACCAAACTTTTCATCAATGGAGATTTCGTCGAATCAGTTTCAGGTTAATATTATATATAATTATTTTCTTTTACGACTTTGTAAACTGTCTTGCACGCTGTCAAAAAACGGTTATGTTTTTTTCTAATATGAATGTAATATTGTTTGTAGGGAAGAGTTTTGAGACAATAGATCCAAGAACAGGAGATGTAATAGCAAGAATCAGTGAAGGAACCAAAGAAGACATTGATGTTGCTGTAAAGGCAGCTCGTCACGCATTTGACTCAGGTCCATGGCCTCGCCTGCCCGGCACTGTATGTTATTTTTCTCAGCTTTTATTATTTTATTTAAATGAAATTAATTATTAATTTGCAGTTATCTTATAGTGATTCACATTTGGTTGACTTTGAGTTTGAGATTTAGATTTAGATTCAGATTGAACTTATTTATTATATAAATAAATTATTGCGTCAAAGATAATATGAATATTATATCGATATTTATAACTCTTTTTTTTTTTATGTTAGAAAAAAAGAATGATTAATATAAAAGTTTACACGTAATATTCTGTGATGAATGTACATTAAGTCAACAGTATCTTATGTAGCATCATATAATTTCCTGACCAGGAAAGAGCAAAAATAATGATGAAATTTGCGAACCTAATCGACGAAAACATAGACGAGCTAGCAGCACTTGATGCCATTGATGCAGGAAAGTTGTACCATATGTGTAAGGCCTTAGACATCCCCTCTGCAGCAAATACGCTACGTTACAGTGCCGGTGCGGCGGATAAAATTCATGGTAATGTACTAAAACCTGCTGGACAGTTCCATGCTTATACATTGATGGAACCAATTGGTGTTGTTGGACACATTATTCCTTGGAACTTTCCTACTTCAATGTTCTTCGTCAAGGTTAGCCCTTGTTTAGCTGCTGGATGCACCATGGTTCTCAAACCTGCTGAGCAAACGCCTCTCTCGGCTTTGTTTTATGCTCATCTAGCTAAATTGGTATGTTTCTTCCAATCAATGATTTCTACTTTTTACTCCGTTCGTCTCATGTTACGTGTCTCATATTCGGTTCTTCTGTCTTTCTCTTTTTTAAGGCTGGAATCCCGGACGGAGTGTTGAATGTTGTACCGGGATTTGGAGAAATTGCTGGTGCTGCAATTAGCTCACATATGGACATTGATGCGGTAACTTGCGTCACAAGCTTTGTTATATATTACAGTAAAGTATAGTTGTTGTGGCCTAAATTGTGGTTGTTGAGTTGTCAAAACATCGATGTCCTGACCTTGGAATCGCGCGCGCTCGTGACTAACTGGTTGGTGATGTATGTTTAGGTAAGCTTTACTGGTTCAACACAAACCGGGCGTAAGATAATGGAAGCTGCGGCAAAGAGTAACTTGAAACAAGTTTCACTTGAATTAGGAGGCAAGTCGCCACTCATAATTTTCGATGATGCCGATATTGAAAAAGCTACTGAACTTGCTCTTATAGGCATCTTATTCAACAAGGTAAAGATGCTTCAATGAAAATCCTCTCTTTTTAACATCTTTGCTTTTCTAATGTGTCAATTACAAACCATACATGTTCTGACAACAGGGAGAAGTGTGTGTTGCAAGTTCACGAGTGTTTGTTCAAGAAGGAATCTACGAAGAATTCGAGAAAAAATTGGTCGAAAAAGCAAAAGCTTGGGTCGTTGGCGACAATTTTGATCCTAAAGTTCAACAAGGACCTCAAGTAAGTTTTACCTCGTTCAGAACACCTCGCGTTCAGGGGAGATTATAAATGAACGAATTCTAAAGTTTTCTTGAAGCACACTCCACGAATTACGTACTTTGAAACATTGTTTATATTTAGGATCCTCCATTTTTTAGATGTAACAATCTTGTGTACAATGTATAGGTTGACAAGAAACAATTTGAAAAAATTCTTTCATATATAGAACATGGAAAAAGAGAAGGAGCTACTCTTTTGACTGGTGGTAAAACAGTTGGAAACAAAGGATACTTCATTGAGCCAACAATTTTCTCCAACATAAAGGTGAATAACATTAACAAGTCCATAATCAATTTGGATATGTTTTCCAAAATTAATAACTAACCATTGTTATATATGTATAAATTATTATGTTTAGGATGATATGCTTATAGCACAAGATGAGATATTTGGTCCTGTGTTGGCACTGAAAAAATTTAAGTAAGTTTCTTCTTTAATATATTTCTCAGTTATTTAAGCTCTATACTTATGACATATCTGAATAAAGGTGTGTCATACTCAGACATCAATACACGTGATTATTAGCAATGTTGATATCGTGTCTGGTGTCTGTAGGACTATTGAGGAAGCAATTAAGAGTGCTAATAATACAAGATATGGATTAGCAGCAGGCATTGTGACAAAGAGTTTGGATATAGCAAACACTGTGTCAAGATCGATTCGTGCAGGAACTATTTGGATAAACTGTTATTTTGCTTTTGGAGATGATATTCCTTTTGGAGGATATAAAATGAGTGGATTTGGAAGAGAATATGGATTGGAAGCACTTCATAAGTATCTACAAGTTAAATCTGTTGTTACTCCCATTTACAATTCTCCATGGCTATGAGTATTTTCCTATGTATTTTGGAAAGTGACTAGTTTCCAACTTTCTTGCATAAACATAATATATCTACTGTCTTTTTTGTTGGTGATTTCAGCTCATCTAGTTTTATATGACATTAAGTTGAGAAAATGAAGTTTATTTTTATGATTTTGTCAATGGTGTTAATTATTGAGTTTGAGGGAGACTCATTATGTGTATTAATGTGCATGATATTCATGGAATAAAAATCATATATGAAGAATCATCACGAGGAATGTCTCAAGTACAATTTTCTTGGAGATCATTGGATTTTTTTGGCTCCGAAGCTCGGAGGCAGGGACAATTTGGTTGGGTCTGCGTTCCTTTCGGTTTATCTCCACCAGGTTTATTCTTTGGAAACTTTAAATAATCCTGATCGATTTCTTGTTCAATCTCTTTTTGAGTTTGCGCGGCCGCCTCCACGGTCTTCCCCAGAAGAGGAGGCATATGGAGTGTTTTTCATTGAAACTTTTCCTCATTGTTACCAGCTCATTGAAGATACTTATGATATCTATAGGACAAAAATAAATAATAAATACGTAAGAGAAAACATGCATCACAAAAAATAACGAGTAAACCAAAAGTTCCTCTCCTCACCAAACATTATGTTATCTCATACAAACTCTTATCGGCTTCGCGGTTGAAGGGGTAACCAAATAATATATTTCCTTAAAACTTTTGAAACTCTACATATAGACTTTGAATATATCTTCTTCATTTGTCCTAAGGTCTGCCATGGTCGAGGTACTTTGTATGTTGAAAAGGTGAAAGAAGAGCTTTAAGGTATGGATATTGTTTATATATTCACAACAGTATTGAAACATCTTGACCTAGGCTCAATTCAGCGAGTGGAGTTGTGAAGGGTCGATCTTTAAATGATTCATAACCTCAACTTGAAACTCATTGAAGGGAAGCTTGAAACTCATTCTAGAGAACAAACATTCGTGAAGGGAAATTTTCACCCATCAAAGTGATTGTATATTATTTTACTAGGATTTACCTACGAAACCGCTCAGTCAATAGATTGACCTATATTTTAGTAGGTATTCTTTATTCGATGTGCCTCACTGAAGACAGAGGTCTTACCAAAATATCATATGTTCCACCCAAGGGAACTGAAATGTGTCACTAGGTATCTTGAGAGTTTGATGTCCTTTCCATATCATTTTCTCCTCATTGCTAACAAGTAAAAAACTACGACCATGATTGTTGGGAGGCGATTGAAACTATATCCACCATCTAACCTCATTATCACTCAGTTCGCGACCATGTTATCACTTAAAGGCCTTAAAGTAATCTTGGGACTTTAGCTCATCCATGTACACCACTACAATATCTAGGATTAGCTTAGGGAGTTGAGGGATGGAAAAACCATGACCAATTTCCCTAGTACCAATCCTAAAAGGAGTGATTTCCTCCACTTCTTCCACATTCATTTTGAGATTTTCCATTTCTTGAAACCCTCCAACTCTTCAACGTCCTTGCATGAATCTTCCTTCCCACAGAATCAGAATTATCAATAATCTATATAAAGTCTACAAAAGTATACCTCATAGTTAAAGGAGACACCTCTAATATTTTTAGGTATCTCACTTCAATTTGAGATTAGGCGTAGCGGCAAGAAAAAATTAAGTTAGGAAGAATTTCGGAATTTTTCGTCTCCACAGGGATTGGAGCGATGGAAAGAATGTCGTTTGACTGTCTCTACGTTTTTAAGTCTGTTTTGAATGGTTTTAAAAGAGTAAAAAGCGGAAAGTAAAACATATAAACAAGTGAATAATGCATTCTTTAGAGATGACAGAACTCGTCGGGATTGAATTTCCTCTACCCATCAAATATTAAAAAAAATATCAATCAGTAGTATGCAACCTAAATCACTCATCAATAACCTCACATATCACCCATAATAGAGGTTTTTTCTAACGCAAAGTTAAGAAAACAACTGTATTGTCTCATCGGTAATGTCTTACGCAAATCAACAACACAGAGCATTAAAAAATGATACCCATTATGAATATTAGACCTAAATCTATATCTAGAGTTTACAATCTAATAAATGTTCATCTTAGATCGAGTTCAAATCGTGTATATGTTTATAGCAATCCAAACTCAATAAGATAAATATTAAAATCAAAGATAACATCGATAAATATTTGTAAAAGAGATTTTATACAACGATCAATAAATATACATACATTCAAGATAAACTTACATACAACACCCCAACAAATAGAAAATACAAAGAGAATAGCGAAACTAAACCGGTGATTCTCGAGGTGTCAAGACGATTATCATAAATCCAGCTCAGGATCGTCAAGATGCACCTTCTAATGTTGTTTTCTAAGCCTCTAACTCTAAGGAATGATTTCTGATCAAATGGTTATAAAAAGTCCCAATAGATATCTAAAAAATCTTAGAAGAAATGAATATATAGAATTATGAATTTTCGCAGCTCACAAAGCGAACTCACCTTATTTGCACGTGTTTTGGAAGCAAAATGATCAAACCGCCTTAGAAAAATATATAGCTCGCAAAGAGACCATGATGCAAAAATGCTTCTTCCTATAAATTGAACTTCATCACCTTCAACTTATTTTCCGCTCGCAAAGCGACCACGACAGATTTGAGAAAAATTAGTTCTTGCTTCCACCATAACTTGAGAACTATAACTCTAATTTACTCATGGTCAGAAGCGTTAGAAAGCTTATTCAATGCTCTATAAAAAAATGGATAAATATTATTGCTTGAATATCTAGAAAAAATGAGATAAAAACAATCAGACTCAATGATATTTACACAATAACACACGGTATACACTATAACATAAACTATACAAAATGTACACAAAAATTGAGGTTTATTGGTATAAAACGAATGAATAAAGCCGAGGAGTGCTAATTATTCACACTAAAAATCACAACTATTTAGCATTCATCAAACTCTCTCCAACTTAGACTTGTTTATCCTCAAATAAGAACCAATCAACCTAAAGAGCAAAAGCAATCGCCGAGAAATCATGCTCAATAAGTTTTTACAAACAAAAACAAATGTATGGTCTAATTATCAAAAGTATAAAGCAATGCTTACCACTCAACTGCAACGGTGCAACGAAATATGAAACAAAATATAAGCACAAAACACATGTCAAACATTCTAAAGCAATGCGTATTGTTGGTACACAAGGTTAAAAGAGATGAATAGAATGAGAGAATTATGTTTATATTCTACAAATGACGGCTATAAAGGTGTAAGGAAGAATTACATTAAATGGCATCTACCACTAGTCTATTTATACAAAGAAAACTAGGGCCACATAGGCACCATACTAAAGTACTTAATTACCCTCTAACAAAGCTTAGTCACTAAGTTTTGTAAAATATAAATTATTTCTAACACATATGTTCAAGAATGAATCACATCTAACACACAACTTTATCAAGGGATGAAAAACAAACATGAGGAGTTGAATTCACACCCAACAATCTTGTAAACACGAATTCAAATTATGCATTCATCTAAAAAAAACTCATATTAAAAGTATAAAAAAAAAATCACAAGGGCTTTAAAGGGTTGTAATGTGGCATGGCTAACAAAGAAAGGTCAATTTCTCAAGGTCAATGAAACAAAAACTTGCCTAATCAAATGGGAGTGATCATTTCTCAATTTTTTAGCATTCACACATTTTCTTTACCTTTCTCTATTTTCCCAATTGTTACACGATTTCACACAACTTATTAGAACACTTTATTTATTTTTTTTGTTCTTTTCTTTTTCACAACTTTTTCTCTTCTTTTTTTTTTTTTCTTTTTCTTTCTTTTTTCAATTTTTTCTTTTTCTTTCTCAACCGCATAACAACCGATCTTTTCTCCTCAGCTTGAATACAACCAACATTATAATGTGAATGCTCTCAAACTTTTTAAGGCAAAGGTAAAAAATTCAAACCATAATTCATAGTTATAGGTCAAGAAAAATATTAAAATCCATACAAAAATGAGCTCAACACTAACATGAATTCTAACAAAGACTCAAATGAGGTAAGCAAATTCTCACTTAATCACAAGGTAGATTGACTATTTGGTCAAGTGGTTGTGCTCAAAATCAAACAAAATACCTTGATCATTTTAGTGCTATCATACAAATCAAAACAAATATAAGATTAAACATAATTCAAACGAGTTAAACAAAAAAGTTGGTCTCCATGCAATTTAGTAAACAATGGAAAACTTCCTCACATTGGTTATGAACTAAAGTGATTCATAAATGAAGAAGAATCGCAAAAGAATGAATGCCATGTTATTTGTGCAAAGTCTATGGTTCATAAACATGTTATGTCCTTGACAATGCAACTTTCTTTCAAACTCTTATTACCACCACAAATTTTTTTGTTGAAACACTTAAAATTGAACAATCACAAAATGAATTCTCAAGCTAATAAAAAAAATTGAGAAAAAACACAAAAATTTCTAACAACCTAAAAAAATCAAATTAAACTAACTAAACATAAAACTATAAAAACTCAAAAATCATTGGGTTGCCTCCCAACAAGCGTTTGTTTCACGTCGTTAGCTCGACGCCTTTATTGTGCTTGGCTAGTAACTTCCTTGCAGGCATGCCAGTGTTTTTCTTCAAAGCGCAAACCTAAAGAAAGTGTCCTAACCAAACACTTGAACAAACTTTACAGGAACAAAATATATACAACACTCGAACAAACATGATAAAAAATAATTATATACAAGGATGGAAAACAAAAGCAAAACAAGTATTTGTACAAGCATATATATATATAATATAGACAATTACGTACAAAGTTTAGAAATATATAAATTATTGCAATGCTTTCAATATCAACACCAATCCCCGACAACGACGTCATTTTGCTGATGCGGCAAGCAAAAATTGAGTTTGGAAGAATTCTGGAAATTTTCGTCTCCACATGGATCAGAACGAGGGAAAGAATGTTGTTCGACGGTCTCTATGTTTCTAAG